AAGAGCGGCAAAGGAGCAAAGGGGACAGGGAAGGGGGGAGGCGAAGGGAGGGGAGGAGGGAGAGGAGATGGAAAAGGGTACGGGAAGGAGGATGAGGAGGAAGAGGAGGGGGTGGAGTCGCCACTCGCACATGTTCGAATGCTACGGGCGTGTGGCGCTCCTTTCTTCTCCTCCATGCGCCCGTCCTCTGCCTCCACCTTTTCCCCTGCTACCACTGCTGCTCGTGCCACCACTGCACTCACTCCTGCCGCCGCTGTTGCTGCCTCTGCTGCCTCTGAGTTGACCCCTCCCAGTGTATCAGTGTCCAGAGGTGGAATGGGGAGCACGGATCAGGAAGGGCCCATGTATAGCACTCATGGCAGCATCAACAGCACCAGCAGTAGCAGCAGCAGTGTGCCGAACGGAGGGCTGGGGAGTGGCAAGGCGCAGCAGCCGCGGTCTGCAAGGCAGTCGATGCTGGAGGGGATGTTCAACCGGCAGTGGGGCAAAGCCAAGGTACGTGCAAGCCTTCATTCGACTGAATCGGTTCCCGTATAAGAACCGCATGCATTGTGATGCTGGTAGATCGCAGCAGCCGCGGTCTGCAAGGCAGTTGATGCTGGAAGGGATTTTCAACCGGCAGTGGGGCAAAGCCAAGGTACGTGCCACTGGCAGTGCGTGCATGGATTGGATTGCCTTGTGCCCATTTAGGAGACGACTTTTGAGGCGCCTCACAAAGCAAAGGTACGTGCCACTGGCAGTGCGTGCGTGGATTGCCTTGTGCCGATTTTGAGAGTCGGCGCTTAAGACACCACCAAGGTGCTTGCGTGCATGGATTGATCGTCATGCGTCTCAGCATCTATTGCTTCGGGGTTGACTCAACCCGGCAATGCATCAAGCTCTGAGGATAAAAATCCGGCAACCGATTTCTAGGAGCCTTGGAACCAGGCAGCAGGGCAAAGCCAGTGTGCCCGCGAGGGTAAGCTAACCACGATGTCTCTCTCTCTCTGCTACAATGCAACTCTTCTAGGCAGCCTTGGGATTGTGTTGTGTCGCCCACACACCCAACCTCTCTGGAAGATGCCTTCCTCCTGTGTGACAAATGGTTTCTGTTGGAGGTTGGCTTGGCGGCTTGGCCTTCACTTGGTACGCACACCTGACAATGTGCAATGCATTTGCTGCATAGACTCACCTCAAATTCCTGCCACCTCTCTCCTCTCATGTTTCCCTTCCCACAGCACTGATCGAGACTCTTACGAGGTTACCAGGGTCTGCAGCAGTCATCCAAGCCAAGGCGGACCAGGGCGCACGGCACTTGTAAAGTTAGAACAGAGATCTAGGGTAGGGACCTATCTTTCAGGAGACCAAACGCAATGGAAGGCTTCATCAGAGATTCGTTATAAGCTACTGGTACCTTTATCCATGGTTAAGAAACCCGCCATATCATGTATGTAATAAGCAGGTTGCCTTGTAAGTATTTGCCTAGAAATAATTGAAATGAGTTTTGTAGGAGTGTGCCAAGGAAAGTTATAACACAAGTGAACTAAGAGGCAAGATATTAAGTGGAGAGAATGCCATTAGGATTATTCTATAGGCCAGACTCTTTTACCATGGCTTGGTAGTTGTTACGGGTGCAATGAATCGAGGTAGCGAGAATTGCACTAGAGAGTCAAATGAGTACAAAATGTGAGCGAAGGCATGAGCGAACATTTATACGCAAAATATGCAAAACGGTAACGCGGTGCGTGCGAGCTTGCTAGTGCTACGCTGGAGCGAGGCTCGGGCTAGTCCCGAAGCGTAGGCCGACACGGCCATGCCAGCAGTGCGAGGTTTGGCAAACAGTGCGCGCGAAGTCGGCGAAGTCCCGTTAGCAGTAACGGGCGAACAATCGGCTGTTGATGTACGCGATGTAGTCGGCTCCGTAAGGAATGCCGAGAAAATTCCTTACACTACCCCCCCCCCCCTTAAGGAGGCCCCTCCGCTACGCGAGTGCGTGTATATCGCGGAATCCCCGGCTCCTCAGGTACACTTGCAGGGCAGGGTGTTTTTCGATGTTGGTTAGGGGCACCCAGCTGTCCTCAGTTGGCGTGCGATCCTTCCAGCGAACGAGGAATTCAATCCTCCTGATTCCCGTGGGGTGGCGGATCCGATGGCTCCGGATTTTTTCGGGCTCGATGATCGGCTCCGATGCAGGGCGAGTCAGTGATTGTGGGCGGTGACGCGGCAGTTGACTTGTGGTCGGGATGTATGGGCGAAGTAAGCTGACGTGGAACGAAGGGCTGATGTACCAGTCGGTTGGCAACAGTAGATGTGCGGTGACGGGTGTGATCATATGACTAATTTGGAATGGTCCACAGTAGCGCGGTCGTAATTTCGGTACGTCGGGCAGTCGCAGATTTTGCGTGTCGAGCAGCACGTAATCTCCAGATTGGTACGTGACAGGGCGGCGGTGGCGATCAGCGTTGCGCTTAGCGATGACGTTGGCTTTTTTGATTGCTTCGGCAGCTTTGGTGCGGGCAGCTTGCAGGATTTCGGCGAATTGTTGTGCACGTGGCGTTGGGTTGTCCGGACTCGGCGTCATGGGCACTGTGGGGTTTTGCCCATAGTTCAGGTAGAACGGGGACTGCTGCGTCGTGGCTGATGTGGCGTTGTTGTACGCGAACTCGATAAGCGGCAGCTGCTGCTCCCAGGTCGTGGGGTCGTCGCACGTGGCACGAATCAACTGCTCCATCGTCTGATTCGTTCGCTCCGTTTGGCCGTCGGTCTCGGGGTGGTACGACGAGCTGAACTGTAGCCTGGTCCCGAACTGCTCCCAAAGGTTCTTCCAGAAGTTGCTGGTGAACTTCGTGTCCCTGTCGCTGATGATTGCTGCTGGTATCCCGTGCAGGCGAACAACGGTTGCGATGAACAGACGAGCGGTCTCCTCGGCTGAGATCGACTTTTTGCACGCAGCGAAGTGTGCCATCTTCGTCAGCCTATCCACGACGACCATCACCGCGTCGTTACCCCCAGGGTTCAAAGGTAACCCTGTGACGAAGTCGATGGTTACTTGCTGCCAGGCGCGTTCAAGCGGTGGGATCGGTTGCAATTGACCCGCCTTCCGCTTCCTTGAACTCTTCATCACCTGACACGTAGGGCACGAGCCCACGTGCTGCTGTACGTCGGTCAACAGCTCCGGCCAGTAATAATACCGCTGCAGTTGCTGTCGTGTTTTTTCTACCCCGAAATGTCCCGAGGTAATCCCGTCGTGTGCCTCCTCCAGTAGTAGCTCCCTTAGTAGTGAGTACGCGGGTACCCAAATGCGGTTGGTGCCTGTTTTTACGTAATAAACTCCTTTTGCTTCTGCCAGTTGTTGTGAATTCCCGGTCGTGAAGAATGGGTCAGTACGATATCCGTGGGTGAATAGGCCAGTTAAAAGCGGGTTGGTCTGGGCAAGTAGGATAGCGTGGAGTTGGGCGGTGGGGCGGGTGAGGGCGTCGGCGATGTTGGATGCACCTTTTTTGTACGTAACGGTGTAGTGAAAATTGGACTCAAGATAGTCCAACCAGCGAATCTGTCGTGGGTTGAGATTCGGTTGGGCGCGAAGGTACTGTAGTGAGCAGTGGTCTGTCCGTACTGTCACGTCGGCGCCAGTCAGGTAACACCGCCAGACTTTGAACGCGTGCACGATCGCCAGCATTTCGCGGTCGTGTGTCGGGTAGTTGCGTTCGGGCGGGTGTAGCTTGCGGGACTCGTACGCGATTGGCTGGAGGCCGTTCCCGAAGTCCTGCAACAACTCTGCTCCCACAGCGATGTCACTTGCGTCGGTGACGAGCTCGAACGGACGGTGGGGATCTGCAATGTGAAGGACGGGCGGGGAGCACAAAATATTTTTGAGGGCCGAGAAGGCAGCTTGCTCTTTCTCCCCCCACGTGTACTCAACCCCCTTCCTCAGCAGGTCAGTCAACGGGGCAGTCAGCTTCGCCATGTCGGGGACGAACCGGCGCACGTAGTTGACGAACCCCAGGAAACTCTGCAACTCGGTCAAGTTGGTCGGCGCGTGCCAAGCCTGAATCGTCGCAATTTTCTTCGGGTCTATTTCCACCCCCGCAGCTGAAATAACATGTCCCAAAAACTCCATGCGGTCCTGTAAAAACTCACACTTAGATGCTTTGGTCAGTAGACGGTTCTCACTCAGGATTTTAAAAACTGCTTCGATGTCCTGTAAGTGCTGTGCTCTGTCAGGGCTGTAAATCAGTATGTCGTCCAGATAAACGATGACGCACTTATCTAAAAGCGGGCGGAATGCTTCGTTCATGGTCATTTGGAAGGTGGCGGGGGCGTTGGTCAGTCCGAATGGCATGACAGTGTATTCGAAGGATCCGTAGCGTGTTCGGAATGCGGTTTTAGGGCAGTCGGGTGGGTTGACGCGGATTTGGTGGTAGCCTCCCCGGAGGTCAATTTTCGAGAAAACCCGGGCTGCGCGCAGTTGGTCGATCAGTTCGTCGGCTCGTGGGATGGGGTAACGGGATTTGATGGTAACCCTGTTCAGTGCCCTGTAGTCGATGCACATGCGAAAACCCCCGTCCTTTTTCGGTGTGAACAGTATTGGTGCGGCGAAGGGCGACGAACTAGGGCGAATGAATTCCTTCTCGAGCAGGTAATCGAGCTGCTTCCTCAGTTCGTCTAGTTCGGGTTGGGTCAGTCGGAACTGTCGCTGTACTGTTGGCTGTGCCCCCGGTTCCAGTTCTATCCTGTGATCGTGCGGTCGCTGAGGTGGCAGTCCCGTCGGTAAGTCGTCCGGGAAAATGTCACTGTACCGTGTTAACAGTGCCGCCAGATCACTCGGTACGTCTGTCAGCAGTTTCTGTAAATCTCCTCCCTTGTCTGCTGCCTCGGCTTCCCGAATGTCAACCGCGTACACGTCAGCTCCAGCCGCTACAGCGCGTTTCATCGTGATCGCATTGACACGCACCGACGAAGACTCAGGCGAGCCCCAGCGAGGTAAGGCGATGCTGTTACCGTTCACTCGCACGGTGCAGTCACCCGTCGTCCAGTCAATTCGCGGATTGTGTCGTCGCAGCCAATCACGCCCGAGTAAAATGTCGGTTCCGTCGAGGGTCGTTGCGAGCATTTCCTGGCTAAACGTGAAGTTACCCCCGCATCGAATCCGAACTCGGTCTACGCGTTCCCGTATTGCCAGCGGCGTGCCGTCTACCAGTCGTGCGTCGATCTCAGGTAAGCATCTGTCCGGTGGCAGTCGCAGTTTTCGTGCTGTAGCAGTGTTAATGAGGCTGTGGCTGGCTCCCCCGTCTACGAAGATTTTAACTAAGTCTGTCCCAATTTTCCCACTGAGCAGTATAGGGCTGTCTACCGTAGTACCCTCCTTATTCGGCCGGGTGTGGTCGATTGCGTGAACCGGCACAATCACTCGGTGAGGGCCGGTTGGGTCGGGCGAGCGGCGTGACCTGTCAGTAGAGGGCCCGTCTGCTACTGACTTCCAGCGTTTCCCTGCTGCTTGGTCTGTGTCTGCTGCTCAGCTTCCCCCTTTCCCTTAGCGTTTTCCGGGCATTCGCTCTTGCGATGTCCCGGCCGATTGCACGCAAAGCAGCGCCCTTTGAATGGTGCGGCAGCGGCATTTGCGGCGACGGCGCGTATCGTGGCGCTCTCGTTCGTCCCACGAGGCCGATGTCCCCAGTTGTTGTTTCCGTAGGACCCCGGTCTCGGTCGGCGAAAGAAGTCGAGCTTCTCCGCCATAGCGAGAATTTCTTGAAATTCGGTGACGCCGCGAAGCTGGATTTCCTGAGCGATGTCCTGCTTCAGGCCGCCGATGTAGCGGTCGATGCGCTCGCTCTCATGCATGTAGCCCACCTGTTCGCATAGCGCCAGAAATCCGCTCGTGTAATCCTGGACGGAACCGGGTTGGCGCCAAGTGCGGAGCTTCTGTCGCGCCGAGATCGAAGCCGCAATTGGCTCAAATCGAGCGCGTAGACCTGCGCACCACGCGTCCCACGTGCGATACTGGGGCACCTCCACGAAATACGACGGCGCCCAGGGTCCGGTTTGTCCTTCCCGTGTCGGTAGTGTCGCGTAGTCTGTCGGCTTCGTGACGATGACGCGCCACCAGTCCATGGCGGGTCCTCGCAGCAACGACACGGCGTATCGAATCTTCGCCGAGTCCTCCGAGACGTAGTTGGCGTCGAAGAAGACGTTCATTGTGAACAACCACGCCTGAACGGTAGGACCACCCCGTTGACTCGGGTCAAAGCATGGCGGGCGCTGCGGCTTCAGCGGCATCGGTGACGGCAGTCCCGAATCGTGGGTTGGTGCCGAAATCGTGACGCGAGGCTGACTTGGGGCCGCATGTGTCGCTCTGGGGTGTGTCGTGCCGTGGTCGTCGTCTCCGTCGGGGCGGACGACGCCATCACTGGCCGCGCTCGCGGGCTGCCCCACACTCCCGTGTTGTGATGTTGAGGGTGCAGGTTGAATCGGAGTGCCAGGTGCTTGAGATTGTGCTTGTTGTGCCCTCGTGAGGTCATTTTGCAGTGATGAACGTTCTGCCGTCAATGCCGCGATTTCCTCGGAGCTTTCGTGCAGCTGTCGCAGCAGATCGTTCAAACGCTCCTGCGTGAGGGTGGTGACGTCGATAATTTCGGCCATGACGAAGGGCGTCGGCTCGTCGCAGTCGTGGCTGCACGCGTTTACGAGAGAACGCGAGGGCAGCGGCTCCTAGGGGCTAAGGTGCGTAGGTCCCTTCGAGTGAAAAATCAAAAGTTGATTTCCTCGTGTGCGGAGATGCGCGGTCCGAAAGAAAGGGGCTCGGATACCAAGTGTTACGGGTGCAATGAATCGAGGTAGCGAGAATTGCACTAGAGAGTCAAATGAGTACAAAATGTGAGCGAAGGCATGAGCGAACATTTATACGCGAAATATGCAAAACGGTAACGCGGTGCGTGCGAGCTTGCTAGTGCTACGCTGGAGCGAGGCTCGGGCTAGTCCCGAAGCGTAGGCCGACACGGCCTTGCCAGCAGTGCGAGGTTTGGCAAACAGTGCGCGCGAAGTCGGCGAAGTCCCGTTAGCAGTAACGGGCGAACAATCGGCTGTTGCTGTACGCGATGTAGTCGGCTCCGTAAGGAATGCCGAGAAAATTCCTTACAGTAGTTCTTGGAGGACAAAAATTCACTGTTTATCTATTTCCACACTAGTTATACATACATAATTATACCTACAACTTCTACCAAATTCCTCTAATGGTCAATTGACCCTGACGTATATTTCTGCCAGTATGCTGGTACCTGATGGGCATACCTGGTACCAGTACCCCCAGACAGGGTTCTTTCCTTGTGTTCACCCATAGCTGAAAACTAGGCCAGTCAGCACGCCACTTCAGTTTCTTCCAACGGCCTGTACTCCCTCCAATCAATCCGAGACTCGCTGTCCTCTTCTTCCATTATCCCACCATCAAGCTGAGACCACCGCCCCCCCCTCCCCTTTGCACCTCATGCCTGGCAGCTGCCATCGTCGAACGACCCAACATAGTACGAGTACCCATTTGCAGTCCTCAGAACAGCAGTCCCATTACTACACGCTCCGTCCGTATGCCGCATCACGCAGAAACCCGCACACTCACTCTCCCACTCCGCCACACCCTTTTTCTTCCCTCCACTGCCACCGCCACCGCTGCCACTGCCGGTGCTCTTGCTGCTCTTGCTCTTAGCAGCACCAGGCGAGCCCTTGGGAATCCACACCCAGCTCTCGCAAGAAAGCTTATCCCCCTCGTACGTTTGGATATTCCGGCTCGACGCACACATGTCCGCGCACGCAGCTTGGGTTGACACACGCGCACCGCCAATAATCCGGTACACGTCCAGGTCACTAATCGCCTTGAGAGCCGGACACGTCTTGCACTTCACATTCCCGTTAGTAGCAGTTCCTTTCTTCGCTATCGCGGCGGAGGACGTGGTAGAGGAGGCGGAGGAAGAGGAGCGAGATGAGGTAGTGACAGGAATGAAACCGGCCATACAGAGATTGCAGTCAGAAGCAAGGCTGTAGCCGAGCTCGCATGTAGCACAGGAGGCGGCTTTGGAGTAGCTGCCTTGGCACTTGCACGAGGGAGTCCCGTCCACCTGGGTAGACAAGAGGGGAACGCAGGGGACGACAGAAGGAACGGGTGAATCGGACGGAGCGGGATGGAGGAGGGAGACCGACGCTTGGGAGTACGCGGACGTTAACAGATGGATGGACGGACGGATGGATGGACGGACGGATGGATGGATGGACGGACGGACGGACGGATGGATGCATATACGGACTTATTGACGAGCGCCAGCCGCTTAAGCAGCTCACCTTATCGTAGATGCATTTGCCCTTGCCGTTGCAGTCATCGCCATCGCCGCAGCCAGAGCACCCCTTGCACGACTGGACAACTGCCACATAGCGAAAGAGGGGGCGGGATGGGGGAACGGACATGGGATAAACAACTCCTATGAGATGGAACGGGGCACGAGACTTATCGAGCAGGAAACAGCACCTTTTTTTTTAATGGGTTTGCATTTGCACGTGTGCCTTTACATAAGTCGCGTGCACCTGTGCGTGCTTGCTCGCGCGCGCAAGCGTCTGTGGATATGAGAATACCGTAGAACTGCCAAACCCACCTTGGGCGTTGGGTTGCTGAGCCACCATGTCCGGCTTCTGGTTACTACACAGCTGCAGCACGTTCCCCCCGCCCTCCACGCCATCCACCAGAATATCATCGCTAGCCGTTGGCGAAACAGCACTGTTCTTCGCGAACGACGAATAGCACACACGGGTTACCAGCTTCGCGCTCCCACCACCCTCCACACCCACGAACAGCGCACCACCGCCACCCGTCCTCGCGACATTCGCCTGAAACGACGTCCGCATGATACTAGGCGCCTGCCCGGCGATCGCGGTCGAGTAGATCGCGCCTCCGTTTAGCTTCGCCGAGTTTCCCTCGAACCGGCTCCTCTGCACGTAGTTAACCTGACCGGCCACTGCGCCGCCATATCCGCCGCTCGCCACGTTATTCACGAACGTCGAGTTGAAAATGGCGAGAAACCCGCTTCGCAGCAGCGAGATCGCGCCGCCATCCAACGACGCCTGGTTGTTCTCAAAAAGGCACTCCGAGATCTGGATCGTCGCGAGCTCCTGCGAAATCGCTCCGCCTCGCGTGTTACTGTTACCACGGAAGGTTACACGGCGAGCGATGAGCGGTTTCGCAAGGCCCACGCCGCTGCATTCGCCGATGATCGCGCCGCCGGTAAAGCCTTCAATGTGGAGGTCCTCGAGCTGTAGCGCGGCGCCGGGATCGCAGTTGAAGCCTTTGAAGCCGTTGCCCTTGATTACGCAGCGCTTGCCTCCGCATTTGCCTTGGATATGGAGAATGGCGTTGTACTCTAGCTGAGGGAGGTTTGACGTGAGTGTCACGTCAGCAGACAGCACCACCTTGACGGCACTGCATAGGTTGACCAGTGAAAATCGATCATGCCGGGGAGAGAGTTAGAAAGGGGAGGAGGGGAGGAGAGGGGGGAAGGTGGAGGAAATCCAAAAGAACGGAAACAGAGGCAGGAAGCATGAAATTAGTAACTTCAGGACGATGATTGGTCATAACATTCGTGAGACTGGTGAACCCTCGATAACGATATGGCTGGAATTATAGCTAGTAGCAATGATCATACTGCGTCGGCAAGCACTCCTCACCTTCCCGCCTTCTCGTTGGCACTCGCAATCGCTTCATGCAGGAACGAGTCGCCCTGGGTAGCCTGCGCTTTTCCTCGCGACCCCGTGTTCTTCTTCGCCACCAATGATGTTGCTGCCGTCGCCCCGACCGCGTTCCTGTACCTCCTCGACTTCTTCGTCTTTTTCGCCTTCTTTGTCTTCTTCGTCTTCTTCGCCTTTGTCTTCTTTCCACTGCTGCTGCTGGACGAACTGGTTTCGCTCGTGATTCGTCGGATGGAGCTAATGTCGCCGTCAGCACCGTCCGTTTCGTCGCCCATTGGCAGCGGCATGAGCGACCGACGGAACGTGTCCGACGATTGTAAGTCGAGACGGAATATTTGTAGCTGGTACGGGAGGATGGATTGTGGGGGAGTGGCCAGGCATCCTGCCGTGGCGAACGCGACAATGGCGATTAGGGGGAGGAGGACGGTTGACGGCACGCAGAATTGCGAGAAGCTACGATGCAGCATGGTCATTGTGTCGGGATTTAGAAGGGCAGAGAAGATTGGTGTCACTGGGATTACTGGATACAGTCGAGTATTGCACGGCTCAAGTGCTTCAGTGATGTTTGAAGAATTCGCTTGCTTTGTGTACTTAAAGCGACTCTACACGCATGCAGATGTTGAGAACGGGTCCGAAGAAGAGAGACGCAAGAAAACTAGACTCTATTGATCCTGCTATCAGCTCATAACCCTTTGTCCTCTATCCATGGCATAGACTGGAGGCAGGGAGTAGTACGGCACCAGTTGTGCCAATGTTCAGTCCCCTTCACGCGCCTGACGACCACCACAACTCGTCATTACCGTGGTGGCTTGGGTTGGGTCAGCTGGTAGTAGAATTGGGGTAGCTAGGAGAATGCAAGCTGACGCAAGCCGTCGATCTCTTTTCCCTAGCACAACGGCCGTCCGTTGATACACGCAATTTCCAACATTCACAATCTTTGACATTACCGCGCTTCGGTTCTGAGCCTGTCAGGAAATGCTGCAGTCCACTTCCCCAGCGGGTTGCATTTGGTTGAACATGACTGACTGGTTGATCCCGTTTCGCAGTGGCGTGCTTCCGCACGCACAGAGTCGCTCTGCGACTCCTGCCACCAGTGCGCGACGCGCTGTCAAGAACAAAATGTTAGGCGGGGGATTTTAGCCGACAGTTTTAGCGTCCGTTGGATGACGACGGCAACAGCAATCGCACAGCTCCCAAACCAAACCGAAAGTCGCTGACGTCGATCTGGTCGCATACTCTTCCGTTTTAGGGAGGCGCCGGTATTGTAACTAACCATACGAACCAGATTAGTATTTGAAGTGTCAATAATCTGCCCCCATAATGGCTAATGTCCCAAATAAAATAGTCACCCTGAAAAGTATCATTTATTAGTTGATGCGATATGCACTATAAAATTCTCGCTAAATTTATTGATTTTTTGATAATTCTAACATGTGGAAATATTTTGCTACATTTTGGGAGTATTGTTCTCTTCCATATGTAACTGCTCTATTTCCTGCTTTATGGGGACATTCCTTGATTTTTGGGCTATTGCATACCATTGCCAACCTTCACGGTTGACATAGCGGAACCTCCTTTGTTGGAGCAGCCTGCATTCCACACTACAAATACCCTCGATTTCTCCTGACCAACCCCTATGTGCTGCAACAGCTGCAACCTCCTAGATGTCTCGCAGTGTTCGCAGGCAGCAAGCTGTATCAGTCCTTTCAGTCAGAAGGCTGTGATTTCAGACTTTCAGACGTCTATAGATAGACCCGCATTTCATGGTATTCGTTCTGCTCTAGACTGCGACAAAACTATAAGGACATTCGGATGCGTTAGGACCAATACCTTCCACATTAGGTTGTCCGGTAGAAATTCAAGCTGTTGGGACTCAGAACTCAGAAAACTTTCAATAGGTTTCCTTAATGGCGTTCTCCCCGACGCGACAATCGGTAGGGTTGCAATCACAACCCTAGAAAATGTCATGACGGCAGCCTGTGTGTGGCCGCACCAGGAGCTGCCGCATTAGTGCTTGCAGCAGCGCAGGCGAGTCCGCAATCCGACCGTAGCTGCAAGCGCAAGCGGAAGCACACGCGCGCGCGCAACCGCATCGCGGTCGAAACTGCTGCATCAGAAGTGAAATCCGCGTTCCCTGAAACCATTTCGTTTATCCTGCAAAAATGATGGACTTACAGCAGCAGCAGCAACAGCAGCAGCAGCAGCAGCAGCAACAACAGCAACAGCAGCAACAACAGCAACAACAACAGCAACAGCAGCAGGAGCAGCAGCAGCAGCAGAAGATGATGTATGCGCAGGATAACAACCACCTATACGACCCTAATCACAATGACCTGATGACCATGCTGGGCGGGGGATTCGGTCAGCCGGGGGGAGGCGCGGGCATGCGCGGGGGTCGTCCGCCGTCCGAGCACATCGTGGAGGCGCTGCTTCAGCGGTTTGTTCCGCTGGCGCGCGCAAGGATAGATGCGGCTGCGCAGGTAGGCGGGAGGAGGGTGTGGGGGAAGAGGATGTACGGGGGGGGGGGTGTGCTCAGGTCGTGGGGTCACTTTAGGATAGAGGCGGCTACGCAGGTAGGCCGTGGGAGGTTATGCGGGGCGGAGGCGGAACGGGATGGAGGTGTGGAGGTCGGGGAGAAAGGGGGGACCAAACGCGACTTTGTCTGACTGTGGATGTTGGCGGGCGCTGGAGCAGCTTCAGCAAGCTGTAGCAGGCTGGAGCAAGTGTGGGAAGCTGGGGCAAAGCGAGCAAGCTGCAAAACTCGAATCTGGAGGTCGGAGCGTGTGAGAAGGTGCTCGACTCGCTGGTTATGGCAAGATGGAACCCCGTCCAGTTCCGGAATTCCGTTCGCTCCTCTCTCTCACTATGCCACCCTGTCCAGACGCGTTCACCCCCCTCCGTCCGTCCTTCCCCGCCCAATCCCATCTTCCCCGTCCAACCCCGTCCGCTCCCTTCCACCCCGCTCCACCGCTCTTCACCCCCGGCAGGATGGGCAAGGCTTGAAGCTGGAGGACGGGGCGTACGAGAAGGTGCTGGACTCGCTGGCTATGGTGGCCGCGCACATGCCCCGCCCGCTGCTGGACGCGCTGCTCAAATGGCGCGAAGGGTGAGAGGGGTTGGGGGGAACTGGCGGGCGTGTTAGTGAGCGGAAAAAGGAGGGTGCCCACGCACATGCTCCGCCCGCTGCTGGACGCTCTACTCAAGTGGCGCGAAGGGTGAGAGAGGGGCGGATGGGGTGGCGGGGGGCATGTAAGTGGGGGAAGAAGGGTAGGGGGGCGGGTGGATGCTCACGTGCCCCGCCCGCTGCTGGACGCGCTGCTCAAGGTGGCGAGAAGGGTGAGTGGGATGTGGTGGGGGCAGACAGGCGTGTTGGTGAGGGAAAATGGAAGGATGACGGCTCACATGTCCTGGCCTCCAAGGCCGCTGCTGGATGCGCTGCTCAATTGGCGCGAAGGTTGAGAGCGGGGGGAAAGGGGAAGGGGACCCTGGGGAGGAGAGGCGAGGAGAGTAAGGAAGTGAGCAAGGGAAAGGAAGACGATGCGATAAGGAAGTGTTGCATGGAAATATGTGGGAGACATGATGCGATAAGGAAGACGGGTCCTGACATGCCGCGCTGGTTGCTGTATGCTCCGTTCAAGAGTTGGAGAAGGCTGGAAGAAACTGGAAAGGAACGCTTTGGTGGGGGGAGTGCGTGGGTGGGGTGGGGTGGTGATGGTGTTTTATCATGCTCATGCCCATTGTCTTGTACGAGCATGGGCATGATTTATGAGAAGCCTCAAAGATCGTGGTGTTTACCATGTCACAAACAATGCCATGCCCATGCTTATTGTCACGTATGAGCATGACACGGTGACGCCTTTCCGTTCCCTGCCGTATCTATCTTCCTGCAGGGAGTCACCGAAGCTGATGGACGATGCCAAGTTCGGACCGGGCCAAGGCATGCACACACTGCACCGCAAGGTACGTGCCCTGCCATTCCATTCCATTCTGTGCCCCGCCATGCCATGCCATCCATGCCATGCCATGCCGGTCCACACCATCACTGATGGGAGGACATTGCCTGAATCTCTCCTCTGCACGCAAGTTGCTGTTTCCTGCTACTCATCTCCACTTGCTGGTGGCGCATGGGGGCAACGTGTGCAATGTGGATCACCACTCCAGGTTTAAAAGAGTGCTTTGTGCATCCGCTCTTGCCAGACCTTACCAATATTCTTCCTCCCTCCTCCCTCCTCCATATCCCATCCCATTCCGTGCTGTCCATCCCATCCCCCGCAGCTGCTAGTGGAGTGTGTGTTTATCTCTGCCGCTGTTCGCTTTGTTGACTGCTGCCCTCTTGATGGCCTCACAGGTGCCACTCGCTCACCCCCTTCCACGCCACACTGTGCTTCTCTACTGTCACTTGCTGTCTACTGTCACACTCTGTCTATCGTTACACTATGTCTAGTGTCACGATCAGTGTCACGCTCTGTCCAGTGTCACCCACGTTAACACCCCTTCCAAATGTGAGACTGCGCCTTCCACTGCCAAATTCCGTTTCCAATGCGGCACTCCCTTCTTCCTGCCCGCACTCGTCCCTCTTCCCCCTTTTCTTCCCCGATCTCCATCTGTGCGCTGCGCACTTCGTTTCTTCCTCCGTTTCTCAACAATCCTTCACCCCCCCTTTCTCAGAGGAGCTATGGAGTGGGCTGGAGGACTTCATATTCGACTGGTTTGTGCATGCCGAGAGGTACGGCCGTTTCACTTACATCTCTCGCCTCTTCCTTTCGTCATGTCCTCCTCCCCGCATCTGCTTCAAAGCTCCCCGTATCCGAACGTCAGATTCTGATATTCCTTCTGGACCATCTATCTATTCTCTACCTTCTCTTTTTTATGGGTACGATTCGTCTTGCTTTTGCCAAGTCCTACTGGCTTTATCTTGATGCATCCCAATACCCCTCAAAGGCATCTCAATCTCGTAGTGTATGACATATCCTATCCTCCCTAGTCCCAACCACGTATTGTTGCGCTCCAATGTCCTCCATTGAATGATGCCCTGTCAAACACCCCCCCCCCCCCCCCCTCCCTCTCTCTGCTGCAGGCTCATTCCCCAGTCGGAGTTCCCAGGGTTGATGGAGCTGCGCGCCAAGCTCCTGGACTATGTTGCCGATCTTGCAGGGGTGCTCTCAGTCAAGCGGTGCGTGTGCTTTCTTCTTTGCCTTCTGCTCCCTGCTCTCTGCTCCCTGCTCTCTGCTCCCTGCTCTCTGCTCCCTGCTCTCTGCTCCCTGCTCTCTGCTCCCTGCTCTCTGCTCCTTGCTCTCTGCACTCTGATTCCTCTCTCCTCTCCCTGCTCTCTGTTCGCTGTGCTTTCGAGGTAGAAATCCCCGTCCCATTCCCCCTCCCTCTCGTTCCCCCTCCCTCCCCTTCCCCCTACCCCGCCTCGTCCCCCTCTCAAGTCGACTCAAGTCCTGCTTTCTTCTGGCCTCCCGCTCTCCCTTCCTCCCCCTCCCGCCCCCCCTCCTTCTCCTTCCCGCTTCCCCCCCCCCGCCCTTCGCAACCTCCCCTCCCTCCCCCACCCCCCCATTGAGCAGCTTTGAGAGCATGGCGTCCCGCTTCTTTGTGGAGCTGGACACGAGGGCAATGGAGCAGCCGGTGTGCCTGGTGGGGCTGTCGGCCAAATTTTGATCGGCTCAAGACCCGCTTTCTCCTGGCCCCTCTCCAACTCCCCCTCTCTCTGCTGCTCCCCCACCCGCCCCCTTTCCCCTCCCCCACCCGCCTCCGGCCCCCCCTTCCCCTACCCCCGCCTTCTCCCCTTCGCTTTCTTACCCCCCACCACCACCGCCCCCCATTGAGCAGCTTTGAGAGCATGGCGGCGCGCTTCTTTGTGGAGCTGGACACGAGGGCAATGGAGCAGCCGATGCGGCTGGAGGGGCTGTCAGCCACGGGCAGCCTGCGCGTGGTGCCGGTGGTGGACGTGTTTGCGCGCGGCAGTGAGCGGTCGCTGGCCATGGAGTTCAGCGTGCGGCGCTACGACGCCACCTCCAACCGCAACGAGCTGCTCAGCGTCGTGCACGGCATGCGCTTCCTCCGCCTTGACGTGCGTTCTGGGGAGGGAGGGAGGGGGAGGAAGGGGAGGGGGAGGGAGGAGGGAGGGGGGGAAGGAAAGGAATGTGAGTGCACGGCCCGCGCTTCATGCACGGCACGCAACGCGCTGCTCAACCAACCAGATGTCCACGCCAGCAGCAGCCATGGCCTCCCATGACTTCCTCCTCAAGGCAAATCTTCTCAGCCATGTGGTGCATGCCTCACACTGCTCTCAACCAAACCAAACCAACCCCACCCAACCCCTCCCCTGCCTCCCCGCCCCAACCAGATGTCCACGCCAGCCGCAGTCATGGCATCCCGCAACTTCCTCCTCAAGGCAAACCCTCTCAGCCGTGCGGCGCGCTGTTCACCACTGCTCTCAACCTAACCCCACCCAACCCTCCCTTATCCCTCCCCCCATCCAGATGTCCACGCCAGCCGCAGTCATGGCGTCCCGCAACTTCCTTCTCAAGGCAAACCCTCTCAGCCGCGCCCCCTCCAAGAAGAAAACCGAGCTGCAGCACACACTCTGCGCCATGCTCACCTCCATCCTCGCGCCCCTCACTGAAAACCCGCGCTCCCGCTGGCCCCCACTCAAGCACTTGATGGGCGGTGCCGGGGGCGGGGGAGTGGGGGGAGTGGGGCCTGCTGGCTCGGCTGCGGCTGCGGATGCTCTGACTGCGTGGAACTCCGCGGTGCTGCATTTGAGGGGGCAGCTGTCGGGGTGGGTGGCGCCGCAGTCGACGCTGTCGCTGCAGATGGACAAGCAGTCGAGGCACATCCAGGTGGGTGGATAGGATAGAAGAAGTGCTTCTAGAAGTTTGGGGGTAGAGATGGGGAAGCATCGCTTTGGCTGCAGATGGACAAGCAGTCCTGGCACATCCAGGTGGGTGGGTGGGATGGAGGTGTTTTTAGGCGTCGGCTCAAAGTGTTTCCTGTGGGGCGCATGTGAAGCGGGGGAAGAGTGAGGTGCTTTCTGCTTACTACCTGCTCCCGCCTCTTCCTGTTTCCATTTGCACGTGCACGTGTATGGTTTTGTGTGTGTGTGTGTGTGCGCGCGCGCGCACGCGTGTGCGCGTGCTCGTGCGCGTGCGTGCGTGTGTATGTGCGAGCGTGTGGGCGTGCGTGTGTGTGTGTGTGTGTGTGTGTGTGTGTGTGTGTGTGTGTGTGTGTGTGTGTTGGTATGTGCATGTGCTTGCAGGTGGCGTATCCCCTGAACACGCTGTTGCTGTGCTTGGGCGATCAGCACTCCTTCGACTCCCTCTTCAATAGCTTCGTCGAGATGCTCTACAAACACCTCAGGGTGAGTATCACATGTGCATACGCAAGCAAACAAACATCTGGTTAAGCATAAGCAAGCACCTTACGAGTGAGTACATATCAACAAACATCTCAGGGCACTCTTATGAAAGAATCTTCGTTCAATCCCTCATCCTCCTCCTCGCTCTCTTTCCTCCCATTGCCCCCCGCTCCCCATCTCTTCCCCCCTGCCCTTTGCCACGCCGCGCCACGCCACGCGACGCCGCGCCACGCCATGCATGTGTGTGGGGGGGGGGGCGCAGGAGAAGAGCTACCGTGCAGTGGCGCTGGACTGCCTGCACCGCCTCGTGCACTTCTACCTCAGCGTGTATGCTGATGGCCAGCCCAAGAGCCGCGTCTGGGAGAAACTCGAGGTACCTACCTTCCCTTCCCGTCCCTTCCCGTCCCTTCCCTTCCCGTCCCTTCCCGTCCCTTCCCTTACCTTCCCTTCCCTTCCCTTCCCTTCCCTTCTCTTCGCTTCCCTTCCTGCCTGCATGCGTGCATGCCCACAGGACTGCGTGCCTGCATTGCATGCCTTCATGACTGCATGACATATCTTTCCTTCCCTTGTGCATGCGTTGCGTGCATCCTCCTCCCCGTCTCCCCTCCCTCACCTTCCCCTGTCCCCCCTCCCCCACCGCTGTTCCCCCTCCCCCGTTCTTCTCTTTACCCCGTTCCGTCCCCCCACCCCCTCGCCCTTCGGCCCCCGCCTCCCTCTCCCTCCCTCCCCTCCCCCCACAGGGCATAACGAAGCAGCTGATGACGAGTCTGAAGAAGGGAGTGCTGTCGCAGGACATGCAGCACGACCGCCTCGTGGACCTGTGCGTCACCGTGGCCGCCACAGACCTCGAGTTCGCCATGAACCACATGGTCATCGAGCTGCTGCGCACTGACGGGCTGGGGGAGGCCAAGGTGGGTGGAGTGCCGGGGCAGGGAGGGTGGGTGGGTGGGTGAAGTGAAGGTACGTACGTGTGGCCGTGGTGGGGCGCTGGCAATGGAGTGCAATCACTGCCTCGCGTTCGCCATGATTTACATGGTCATTGAGCTGCTGCGCACCGATGGGCTTGGGGAGGCCAAGGTGGGTGTCATGGCAGGGCAGGGTGGGTGAACTCGGAAACAGGCGGGTGGGGTGGGTGAAGGAATTGTTTCTACCCACCCTGCTCTGCTGTACATACTGTGGCCGCCACGGACCTCGAGTTCGCCATGAACCACATGGTCATCGAGCTGCTGCGCACCGATGGGCTCGGGGAGGCCAAGGTGGGTGAAGGGTGCCAGGCAGGCAGGCAGGCAGGCAGGCAGGCAGGCAGGCAGGCAGGCAGGCAGGCAGGGGGTTTGAAGGGAGGGCCAAGGCAGGGCCGGCAGAGGGAGATGGTGGTACTGCGGGTGCTTCTGATATTGGTGGAAAACGGCCTACACCAGTCCCAACTTCTGAGACTGTCTCTACACACCTCCCTCTCTAATCCACAACCACCCCAACCCCCCCTCCCTCTCTTTCTCACCTCTTCCCCCAGGTGGTGGGTCTGCGCGCGCTGCTGGCAGTGGTGGAGAACGCCCTGCTCCAGTCCAAATTCGGAGACGTCTCCCTAATCCAGAATCCCCCTCACTGTTTCCCTACAGGTGGTGGGGCTGCGTGCGCTGCTAGCGATGGTGGAGAACGCCCTGCACCAGTCCAACTTCTGAGACGTCTCTAAAAGCCTCTTTCACTCATCCAAAACCCCCGCACCTGCTCTTTGTTTCCCTACAGGTGGTGGGACTGCGTGCGCTGCTGGCAGTGGTGGAGAACGCCCTGCACCAGTCCAACGCAGCCACCCTCATGGCCCCCGACCGCAAGTCCTCCGCTCTAGCCGGCTCTGCCAAACCCCTTGGCACCACCCGCCAAGCCCCCCACGTTCCCTTCTTCGGGGGACCAGGGGGAGGAGGAGGAGGAGGAGGGGGGCTCCCCCCTGGGCTGCCCGCCCCCCAGATGTCTCAGCAGCAGCAGATGCTCATGCAGCAGCAGAAGCAGCAGCAACTGCAGAAGCAGCAGGGAGCAGGGGCGGCGGGGCATGCGGCGCATCTGAGTTCACGGTTTGGGTCGGTGGATTATGGGAGGTTGGGTGTGGGGCCGGCGGAGACGGCGGTGATGGCGCCGCACATGCCTCGTGTGCGCGCTGCGCTGGGGGCGATCATCAAGCAGTGCCATGCCGCGTTTGGGTCGCTGCTGCTCATCACGCCCAAGACCACCATTGGTCCGTACGCTTGCTTCCTTGCATGCTTTTCTTGCTGGTTTGTTTGTTTCTTTGTTTATTTTGTTTGTTTTGCTTGTTTGTTGGTTGGCTGGTGCGTGCTTTGGTTGGTTTGTCAGGACCCGGTTGCTGGCTTGACCAAGGCCAAGTTGGTTATAAATCGAGCTGACTCAAACCACCCTATCCTTCAATTCCCCCTCCCCCCACCACCACCACCAGACATGATGTCCAAGGACAAGGTGCAGAGCTGGCAGGTGTTCAAGTGGGCACTACGCTGCATGCCGCACCTGATCCCGGAGCAGTGGCGCAACGACAAGATGACCGAGATCATCCCCGTCTATGCCATCTCCATCGACCCCCACGTGCGCGACGAGGCCGTGCAGGTGCTCTTCCGCACCGTGCGCGACCTGCCGCAGTGCCGCTTCCCCATCCTCCGCGGCATGGCCAACTTCATTCTGAAAATCCCCGATGAGTACCCGCACCTCATCCACTCCTCTCTCGTCTGCCTCGTCCAGTTACTCAACGCCTGGCGGATTTGCCTCGCGTATGAAGCCTCCTCCTCTGCGGCGGCTTCTGGGCATGGACCCGGGGGTCCTCTTGCTGGTGCGGGGGCCGGGGGAGGAGCGGCAGGAGGGCCTGGAGGCGCGGATTTGCTCGCGCGCACCCGGCAGGTTCTCGCGGCGCACGGGGGGGACGACGGGCTGAGGTTTGACCCGTCGGGGATGGACGCAGTGGGGCTGATTTTCCTGTGCTCGGCGGATAATAAGATCCGGAGGACGGCCCTGGAGCTGCTGCGGAACGTGCGGGCTCTGCAGCGCGACTTGGCGCGGCTGTTTGCGGCGGGCGGCGAGCAGCAGGTGGAGGAGGATCCGCCCACCACGTATATCATCGACATCATGGAGGAGACTGGGGTGAGCGAGTGAACTGGGGGAAAAAGGTAGGAGTGGGGGAAAAGGGGGGGTTCATTTCTGGTTGTGTCTTGTTGGTCGTTCTGTTCCAAGACAGCTTGGAAACAAGCTGTGGTGGTGGGGAGCAGCAGATGGAGGAGGATCCGCCCACCATGTATATCATTGATATCATGGAGGAGACCGGGGTTGAGCGGGTGAACTGGGAGAGAAGGGAAGTGGGGGGAAGTGAGGTTCAGTTTTGGGGGCATGGGTGTGTGTTTCTGGTTGATGTGCCTGGGGAATAAGCTGGAGTGGGGCCGGGCAGCAGGTGGAGGAGGACCGCCCACCACGTATATCATTGACATCATGGAGGAGGAGACAGGGGTGAAGGGGTGAACTGGAGGAGAAGGGAGGAGTGGGGGGGTGGGTTGGGGTTCAGTTTTTGGGGGCATGGGCATGTATTTCTGGTTGATGTGCCTGGGAATAGACTGGGGTGGTGGCGAGCAGCAAGTGGAGGAGGACCCGCCTACCACGTATATCATTGGCATCATGGAGGAGACTGGCTTGAGGGGGTGAGCAAGAGAGAGAGAGAGAGAGAGAGAGGGAACAAAGGAAGGGAGAGGGAGGTGTGGCGTTTAGTTCTGGGGGCGTCTGGTTGGGTGTCTAGTTTTGCGTCTGTCAACCCTCTCTCTCTCCTCTCATCTTCTCAATTCCTCCTCTCTTTCCCCCATTTTCCTCTCCCCTGTCTCCCCGATTTCTTTCTCTTCCTTCACCTCCCTGTGGCTTCCCCCCCTCTCCTCTCTTCCTCACCTCCCCCCCCCCCCCCTCCCCCCAACCCCTACCCACAGGAGGAGGAGGTGAGCAAGTGCTACTGGGACAGCGGCAAGTCTTTGGTGTGTCAACTCTAAAGCTTCTCCCTTCGTCCCCTTTGCACCAATCCACGCCCCCACCCACCCACCCACCCCCATCCCCCCACAGGAGGAGGTGGTGAGCAAGTGCTACTGGGACAGCGGCAAGTGGCACGAGCTGCAGCCGGAGAGTGATGCAGAGGCGCTGCAGGATGTGACGCTGCAGCACATCCTGGAGGGCTCCGACCAGGCGCGCTGGGGGCGCTGCCTCAGCGAGCTCGTCAAGTACTGCGCCGAGCTCTGCCCCTCCTCCGTGCAGGGCGCCAGGTATGGGGGGAGAGGGGGCTTGGGGAAGAGGGACTGGGAACTGGAGGATGGGGGTTGTGGGCTGAGGGTTGTTGCGTATTTTGAGAGTGTCGTAACCATTTCCATCTTCCTCCCTAGCCCCCCCCTCCTCCTCCTTCCTGCATCCCACGTTGAAAATCGTACCCCAGCTCATCTTTCGAGTCGACTTCTTAACTGCTTCCATCGATTTCCCATCTCTCCCATGCTCCTCCCCATCCTCCACCTGCCCCCTCCTCTGCACCTCCACCCCGCCCGCTGCTCCAGGCTGGAAGTGGTGGCGCGAACGACCCCACTCTCCCCCGCTGACTCCTCCGACCACCACATCTCATCTCTTGTCCCCCATCCTCCGCACCTCCCTGCCTTCCCCTCCTCCCCTCTCCTCCCTCTCCCCTCCAGGCTGGAAGTGGTGGCGCGAATGACCCCACTCTCCCCCGCCGACTCCTCCGCAAAGGCGGGGGCGGGGGGAGACGGAGACACGAAGCTCGAGCAGTGGCAGCTATACGCCATGTTTGCGTGTGCGTGCCCACCAGAGGACGCCCCTGACGGGGGAGAGCAGAGCATCAAGGAGCTTGTGCGCCTCGTGCTGCCCATGGCCCGCTCAGGGGCAGAATCCTCTGTGGTGCGTTGGGGTGCTGTGTTGCAATGGGGCCGGGGATGAGTCTGCGGTGGTGTTTGAATGCGCCTCGTGCTGGCCATGGCTCGCTCGGGCGCCGAGTCCTCTGTGGTGCGTTGGGGTGGGATGGGTCTGGAGCGGGTGGGATGAGCTGGGGTATGCACTTGCGGGCATCTGTGAGGCGATGCCGGTTCTTTCTGAGATGTCTCCAAAGTAAACCCTCCCTTCCCTTCCATATAATTTCTCATCCCTCCCATCTGATTCCCTTCCCTTCCCACCCGTCCCCACCCCCTGCTCGCCAGTACGCGGCGACGGTGGCGCTGGGGCATGCGCATGCGGGCATCTGTGAGGCGATGCTGACGGAGCTCATGATGTGGGTGGAGGAGCTGCTGGCGGAGATAGAGCAGCGCAAGTGGAAGGTAAGCTGCTGCTGCTGCTGCTTTTGAGGGCGCCTCAAAAGGCATGCGCATGCGGGGGTATGTGAAGCGATGCTGACGGAGCTCATGATGTGGGTGGAGGAGCTGCTGGCGGAGATCGAGCAGCGCAAGTGGAAGTTGAGTGTGCTGCTCAGCCATTTATATGGGCGAGCTGCAGACTAGAATAACTCGTTTGCATGAGCATGATGGTAGAATTGTTTATGGCACAGGTTTCCCACCTCGTTGCCCCAAACCCGGAAGCTCGCTATCAGTTCACACTATCCTTGCTACCTTCCCTTTCCCCGCTCCCCTGCAGAACCAGAAGGTGCGCAAGGAGGACATGCGCGTGTTCATGGCACAGGTCTACCGCCTGGTGGCTTCGAAGCCAGAACTCCTTTCCAAGAAAACCCCTTCCTCCGAACCTCCCCATTCCCCTATCCCATCTTCCTTCCCTTCCCTCCCGCCACCCCCCATCCCTCCCTCAGAACCAGAAGGTGCGCAAGGAGGACATGCGCGTGTTCATGGCGCAGGTCTACCGCCTGGTGGCCGAGAACCTCTGGCCAGGCGTGCTCCCGCAGCGCCCGTGGCTGCGGCAGCTCTTCCTCAAGTTCATGGACAGCACCGCACAGCACGTGTCCAAGGAGACCGGCGACGCGTTTCTGGACGCGCAGCCGCTGCGCTTCGCGCTCTGCTCGGTGGTCCGCTGCCTGTCCATCGAGCTCAACGGGTGCGCGTCGAAGCGGTTCGACATAAAGCTACGCCGGCAGCTGTTTGATCTGATGGCGTCGTGGTGCGATGAGGCGGGCGGGCTGGAGAGCATGACGAGCGAGTTCCGGCGGGAGGTGGAGCGGACGAAAGCGGCGGCCATGGCGCGGACAAAGGACGCGGCGGAGAGATCGGCCGTGGAGAAGGAGCTCAACGAGCAGGCGGATGCCATTCATGTGAGCGAGCGCCATGGGGTGGGATGGTGTGGGATGGGGTGGGATGTGGTGGTGTACGGTGGGATGCTCAAGAGCTCGAGAACCTGTCCAGGCGGGCCGACACAAAGTGCTGATATCCATCTGTATCCCCCATTCCTCTACCCTTCCCCCTCAATTTTCCTGACCAGACAGTCATGAGGGCCCCTGCTTGGCCATGCATTCAGGCCCAGGTGACACTTCTCATTCCCCTCTCTTTCCCCAACCTCTCCCTCTCTTTCTTCCCTCACAGGGCATGGCGATGCAGGCGCTAGCAGCGCTGCTGCACGGGCCGTGCTTCGACGAGGGCCTGAGGAAGATGTCTGGCAAGGCAGTCACATGGATCCGATCCCTCATGGAGTCCGCTGCAGGCATGGGCGGCATGGGCAGGCAGGCGCTAGCAGCACTTCTCACCCCCTCTCCCCCCCTGACCCTCCTCTGTCTTCCCTCCTCCCTGTCCCCCACGTTTCCCTCTCATGCAGGGCATGGCGATGCAGGCGCTAGCAGCGCTGCTGCACGGGCCGTGCTTCGACGAGGGCCTGAGGAAGATGTCTGGCAAGGCAGTCACATGGATCCGCTCCCTCATGGAGTCCGCTGCAGGCACCGGCCAGGCAGCAGCAGGCATGGGCGGCATGGGCATGGGCATGGGAATGGGGATGATGGGCATGGGCATGGGGATGGGTATGATGGGCATGGGCATGGGCATGGGTGGGTCGCCTCGGGATGTGTTTAACAGGAGGAAGGGCGGGGAGGGCGGGCATGGGAAGGGCGTGGGCAACAGGGAGTGGCGGAGCTTGTTTGGGTCGCCGTCATGGCGGTCCATGCTGGGGAGAGAGGCGCTGCTGAATCTTCTCAAGACCAACCCTGACATCGTGCCTGCTATCATCGACCAGGTGCCGCTGCCTGCTTGTCACTTCCCTCACTGCTGCTCCTTGCTCCTTGCTCCTTGCTCTTGCTCCTTTGCTCTTGCTCCTTGCTCTTGCTCCTTGCTCTTGCTCCTTTTCTCTTGCTCCTTGCTCTTGCTCCTTGCTCTTGCTCCTTGCTCTTGCTCCTTTGCTCTTGCTCCTTTGCTCTTGCTCCTTTGCTCTTGCTCCTTGCTCTTGCTCTTGCTCCTTGCTCTTGCTCCTTTGCTCTTGCTCCTTGCTCTTGCTCCTTGCTCTTGCTCCTGTGCTCTTGCTCCTTGCTCTTGCTCCTTTGCTCTTGCTCCTTTGCTCTTGCTCCTTTGCTCTTGCTCCTTGCTCTTGCTCCTTGCTCTTGCTCCTTTGCTCTTGCTCCTTGCTCTTGCTCCTTTGCTCTTGCTCCTTGCTCTTGCTCCTTGCTCTTGCTCCTTTGCTCTTGCTCCTTTGCTCTTGCTCCTTCGCTCTCGCTCCTTTGCTCTTGCTCCTTCGCTCTCGCTCCTTTGCTCTTGCTCCTTTGCTCTTGCTCCTTTGCTCTTGCTCCTTTGCTCTTGCTCCTTTGCTCTTGCTCCTTTGCTCTTGCTCCTTTGCTCTTGCTCCTTTGCTCTTGCTCCTTTGCTCTTGCTCCTTTGCTCTTGCTCCTTTGCTCTTGCTCCTTGGCTCTTGCTCCTTTGCTCTTACTCCTTTGCTCTTGCTCCTTTGCTCTTACTCCTTTGCTCTTGCTCCTTTGCTCTTGCTCCTTTGCTCTTGCTCCTTTGCTCTTGCTCCTTTGCTCCTTGCTCCTTTGCTCTTGCTCCTTTGCTCTTGCTCCTTTGCTCTTGCTCCTTTGCTCTTGCTCCTTTGCTCTTGCTCCTTTGCTCTTGCTCCTTTGCTCTTGCTCCTTTGCTCTTGCTCCTTTGCTCTTGCTCCTTTGCTCTTGCTCCTTTGCTCTTGCTCCGTCGCTCTCGCTCCTTCGCTCTCGCTCCTTTGCTCTTGCTCCTTTGCTCTTGCTCCTTTGCTCTTGCTCCTTTGCTCTTGCTCCTTTGCTCTTGCTCCTTTGCTCTTGCTCCTTTGCTCTTGCTCCTTTGCTCTTGCTCCTTTGCTCTTGCTCCTTTGCTCTTGCTCCTTTGCTCTTGCTCCTTTGCTCTTGCTCCTTTGCTCTTACTCCTTTGCTCTTGCTCCTTTGCTCTTGCTCCTTTGCTCTTGCTCCTTTGCTCTTGCTCCTTTGCTCTTGCTCCTTTGCTCCTTGCTCCTTTGCTCCTTGCTCCTTTGCTCTTGCTCCTTTGCTCTTGCTCCTTTGCTCTTGCTCCTTTGCTCCTTGCTCCTTTGCTCCTTGCTCCTTTGCTCTTGCTCCTTTGCTTTGCTCTTGCTCCTTTTCTCTTGCTCCTTTGCTCTTGCTCCTTGCTCCTGCTCGTGCTTGTTGCTGCTGTGCTCTTTCTTTGCCACCATGCATATTTTGCCCTCTGACCTCTCCCCTTTCTCCTCTGACCTCTCCCCTTTCTCCTCTGACCTCTCCGCTCGCCCCTCTTCCCATCTGTCCTCGCCCCTCCCACCGGTGCTACAATTCGGACTCAGAGCTGGCAAACGGGTACTTCACGGTGCTGGCAGAGGTGTACATGCACGAGGAGAAGTTGGCTGAAGAACTCCCCTCTCCCCTCCCCCCTCTCCCCTCTCCCCTCTCCCCTCCCCCCTCTCCCCTCTCCCCTCCCCCCTCCCCCCTCTCCCCTCTCCCCTCCCCTCTCCCCTCTCCCCTCTCCCCTCTCCCCTCTCCCCTCCCTCTGTCCTCGTCCCTCCCGCCAGTGCTACAACTCGGATTCGGAGCTGGCAAACGGGTACTTCACAGTGCTAGCAGAGGTGTACATGCGCGAGGAGTGCCCACAGTGCGAGCTGCACCGCCTGCTCTCCCTCATCCTCTACAAGGTACCCAGGAGGGGCGTCTGTGGCGCCTCAAAAACTCACATGCTCTCCCTCTTCCCTCGCTCATCCTCTACTATGTATTTCGGACTGGCCTTCCTGTATGCACGGTTAACTTCCAGCTGGTTTTCCAAGCATATTTTGAGGCGCCTGAAGAATCAGCGCGCGAGCGGGTGCACTGCTTGCTCTCGCTCATCTTCTCTCTGTACAAGGTGCAGCAAGCGAGCCCTTTGTACATCAGGGACGACGCGCTGCTGGTGCTGTGCCCCCCTCCCTTCTCGTTCACTCCTTTCCCCTCCCCACCCATGTATCACACTTCGTGCCTTTCTTGCTCCCCTCCTTCCCAAACCCTCCCCTCTCCTCCCCGTTTCAGGTGGTGGACCCGTGTCGGAGCATAAGGGACGACGCCCTGCAGATGCTGGAGACCATGTCCATGCGCGACTGGGCCGACTACACCTCCTCCTACTCCTCCTCCGCCGGCCGCTACCGTGCCGCCGTGGTGGGGTCGCTGCCTGACAGCTACCAGCAGTTCCAGTTCCAGCTGTCGGCGAAACTGGCGCACGAGCACCCCGAGATGAGCGAGCTCCTGTGCGAGGAGATCATGCAGCGCCAGCTCGATGCGGTTAACATCATTGCTCAGCACCAGGTGCGTGTGTTTATGAGGCGCCTCAGGTCCCACAGGTGGTGCTGCTGATTTGAAGAGTTTCATGGGCCGAGAACGGCTCGAAGCATCTCACATGGCATTGCAAACTCACGTGGGTTCTCTTTCCTCCCTTCACCCCAACACCCTCCCCTCCCTCCCGGCAACCTCAACCCGTTCCATCCACCCTCAAACCTCCCTCCCCTCTCCACTCAGGTGCTCACATGCATGGCGCCGTGGATCAAGAACCTCAACTTCGCTGCGCTGTGGGACAGCGGGTAGAGCGAGGAAGGCGTGAGATGCCTCCTCACCATTTCCCCTTTCCCCTGCCGCCTCTCTTCCCCCCTCCCTCAACCCCCCCACTCAGGTGCTGACGTGCATGGCGCCGTGGATCGAGAACCTCAACTTTGCCGCGCTGTGGGACAGCGGGTGGAGCGAGCGGCTGCTCAAGTCGCTGTACTACGTCACGTGGCGCCACGGCGACCAGTTCCCTGACGAGATTGAGAAGCTGTGGTCCACCGTGGCTGCCAAGCGGAGGAACATCATCCCCGTTATCAACTTCCTCATCTCCAAGGTGCGTGTGGTGGGGAGGGAGGTGAGGGAGGAGCGAGAGATGGAGGGGGAGAAGGGAAGGAAGTAGGGCACGGAATGATCAGGGAAGGAGAGGCGTGTCGCTTGGAGAGGCACGACAGCAGGGAAGGAGAGGCATGTCGCTTTTCCCACTTGCCTTGCGTGTTGTTGCAGCTGCCTGTTCCTGTGCATGCATGCATGCACCACACCATGTGTGCAATTTTGAGGCATATGTGTACAAGTGTGTGTGCTCGTGTGCGTGCATGTGTCCATATGTGTCCGCGTGCATGCGCATGTTCTGCCATGCCTGTGCTCATGCATGAGAGCAGGGGTTGGAGGACTGTGACAGTGCAGGAGGGGAGATCACGGGAGCACTGGAGACATACTTCAGTGTGGCCAAGCGCATCAGCCTCTACCTCGCTCGCATCTCCCCCCAGCAGACCATTGACCACCTCGTGAGTCCGCCTCTCTCCTGTCGCTGAATGCACTTTCATGTTTGTATGCACGCACACACACACTTGCATGCATACAGCCTTGAGGCGCTGCATGTATGTGCACGTTTGTATGCACCACACACACTTGCATGCACATTGGTGTTACACACCCATGCGTCTACGTGCATGCATGTAAACGGCATGCGCATGTACTTGTCTCGATTTTTCTGATTTCATTCTGTCCACGAGCCCTTCTTTCTTCCCCCATCCTCCTTTCCATTTCCTCCCTCCATTTGCGCATGTGTGTGCTTGTGCATGTGTGCGCTTGTGCATGTGTGTGCTTGTGTATGTGTGCGCTTGTGCATGTGTGTGCTTGTGCATGTGTGTGCTTGTGCATGTGTGCGCTTGTGCATGTGTGTGCTTGTGTATGTGTGTGCTTGTGTATGTGTGCGCTTGTGCATGTGTGCGCTTGTGTATGTGTGCGCTTGTGTATGTGTGCGCTTGTGTATGTGTGCGCTTGTGTATGTGTGCGCTTGTGTGTGTGTGTGTTTTCTTCTCCCACCAGGTGTACGAGCTCTCACAGCGCATGTCAGAGGAGGATGCAGTGGATGTCTCCTCCTCGGCTGACCAATGGCAGGAGGACATGTCAGAGATCCTCAGATTCTCCCACGGTTGCAAACTGGTCAGTCCGCAATCCATGCCCACTACTCATTACCTGCTGCCCTTTCCTTTCTGCCATCAGCCCTCTGCTCTCTGCTCTCTGCTCTCTTCTTCTCTAGCCTTAAACCTCTAACCCGCTCTGGGCTATCCGATTCCCCTATTCTCCTATATGCGTGCCACTCTTGGTGTGGTGGTTTGAGTCACCACAAACACTTCACACAAACACCACGCGGCTCCTTGGATTACTATGTGCACATGCAGCCTGGCATGCCTGCACGTCCACATAAACACAAATACCCACGCATTATGGAACTAACCACACATGGAAACACACTCACTTGCCTATACTCATAACCATCCTTGTCTCCCCCCTCCCCTCCCCCCTCAGACTGACACATCAGCAGCGGCGCTAGCAGCAGGAGCATCCCCTCTCCCGCCCCTTCCCGGCCAAGTAGCCTCGGCACACGTGCACCACCAGCACCACCACCGCGCCACCACCACCACTGCCTTTGGCACTGTGCGCTCGCCCTTTGGCTCCTCCACTACCTCTGCCTCTCCCGCTTCTTCTGACTTCCTCCGCTCCTCGCTCTCCTCCGCCTCCTCCTCTGCTGCTTCGACTCTGCGCTCCAACAGCATGCGCGTGAGTGGGTGGTGGTGGGGTGGTGGTGGGGGGGTGGTGGAGTGGTGGTAGTGGTGCATGGGGCGGGGTGGGATGTGGTAGGCTGTTGGGTGTGGGAGGTGGGCTTTGGCTTGTGTACTGGTGGGCTGGCTTCTGATGGATTGATCCATGGTGGAAAAGTGTGGAACAACAACACTTTTGTTAAGATGCCTTAGTTGCAATATTGATTTTGCAATAGTTTTCTTCACAGCGTGTGTGCGATCGCTTGTTCTCCCTTTCCTCTTCTCCTCTCACCTGTTCCACTCTCTCCATTCTTCCAATCCTTGCTTCCCACATTACCACATTCCTTCACCCTTTTTCCTTCACCCTCATTGCTCAATCCGTTCCCCACGTTCCCTGCATTCTGTCACCCTTCCCTCAAGCCCCCGCCTTCTGCATGCAGATGAGCGGCTCTCTACTCTCCACTCAACACTCCCTTTAGTTTTCTGAGAAAAAAAAACAAATACAGCCCGCCCTTCTCTCAAAGTCCCTACGTTCCTCATGCAGACAAGCCGCTCTCCATGCAACACTCCCTTTCTCAGTTGGCGTCTTCACCATTGACCTCCCTCCCTCCTCCCTTTCTCCCATGCTGACCTCTTCTCGCCACTCACCCCGCACCTCTGTCTCCAACCCTCTCTTTCTCTTCCATCCCTCACCCCCTGCCCATCCCCTCTTCTCTATGCAGATGAACCGCTCTCCCTTTGACACCCTCGGCACATTCACAATGGACTTCCCCATCGCGCCGCTCCTCGAAACCACCCCCTCCGCGCCCCCAGCAGCCCCCGCCTCCACCTCCAAGCCCTCCAACCCGGTCCCCAACGCCATGCTCATGCTCCCGCACGTCTGGCTCACACGCGCTGACTTCGCCCTCATCCTCCTAGCTGAAATCGCGTACGAGAACGACGAGGATTTCCGAGGGCACCTGCCGCTGCTGTTCCACGTGACGTTTGTGCTGATGGACTCGAGCGAGGTGGTGGTGCTGGAGCATGCGCAGCAGCTGCTGGTCAACCTGCTGTACACACTCGCAGGGCGGCATCTGGAGCTGTATGACGCGCGGGACCAAAGCGAGGGCGAGTACAAGCAACAGGTGAGGCTGGCTGGTTGGCTTGGTGGCTGGCTTTGTTGGAACCTTGTGTGTTTTGAGTCGACTCGAAGCACTGCTGGTGAACCCGCTGTACACGCTCGCAGGGTGGCATCTGGAGCTGTATGACGCGAGGGACCAGAGAGAGGGCGAGTACAAGCAGCAGGTCGGGCTGGTTGGCTTTCTTCCTCTCGCTCGCCTTCTCTCGCTCTCTGAGCCATTCTCTCTGTTAGCCAGCACATCTCTACCCTCCCGTCTCTCTAATGCTTCACACATCCAACCCCTCTCGCAGAGCTCTATCTTCCACTCTTCCCCACTGCCCTCATCCTTGGATTCTACTTAAAAACTCACGCTCCCACCCCCACTGAACACACCCTCCCCTTCCCTCTCCCCTCTCCCCTCTCCCCATCTTCTCCTTGGCTGACAGGTGGTGAGTCTGATAAAGTACGTGCAGTCGAAGAAGGGCAGTCTCATGTGGCCCAACGAGGACATCTCCCTCACGCACACGTCCATCCCCTCCGCCACACTGCTCACCTCCCTCGTGCATTCAGTCGTCGACGCCATCTTCTTCCAGAGCGACCTGCGCACGCGCTGGGGAGAGGAGGCCCTCAAATGGCTCCTCGACAGCGCCTCCCGCCACGCTGCCGCCCGCTCGCACCAGATGTTCCGCGCTCTCCGCCCGCACGTCACCTCTGATACCTGCCTGCTGCTGCTGCGCTCGCTTCAGCGCTGCTTCTCCAACCCGTCCCCGCCGATCCTCGGGTTTGTCATGGAGATTCTGCTCACGATGCAGGTGGTGGTGAATTCCATGGAGCCCGAGAAAATGATTCTCTACCCGCATGTCTTCTGGGGGTGCATCGCGCTGCTTCACACAGACTACGTACACGTGTACACGCACGCGTTGGAGCTCTTTGGAAGCGTCATTGACCGGCTGTCGCTGCATGACCAGACAACCGAGAACATTCTCCTCTCCGCCATGCCGCTCCTCCAGGCGCATTCGGGGCGGGGCGGGAGGGGAGGAGCAGGGAGCGGGAAGGACGAGGAGGGTGGGGGAGGGCAGGCGCAGCAGGGTGGCGGGCAAGCGCAAGCTTTATCGCAGCAGCAGCAGGAGGTGGTATCAGGGCTGCAGTTCCAGAAAGTCCAGCGCCTTGTGCTGAAAGGGCTACTCTCGGGAGTGTCCCACGGGGTGGCCATCGACGTCCTTTCCAAGATCACCATGCGCTCGTGCGATCGGATTTTCGGCGACGGGAACACGAGGCTGCTGGTGCATGTGGTGGGGCTGCTGCCGTGGCTGTGCGTGCAGTTGCAGTACGGGGCGGATGCTGCTATGGGCCTGCTGGTGCTGTCGTCGCCGCTGCAGCAGCGCCTGGATAAGGCGAGGGCGGTCGCGATGAAGATTGCCAAGTGGTGTGTGCAGTGCGACCTGCAGGTCAGTGCTGCCGCCTCCTGCCTCCTCTTTGCCTCTGCTTTGCATCTTTGTTAGTCTTACAAGTGAAGTCGGCTGAGTTGGTTAAAAGAAAACAGCAGATGCAGTTAAATTCCCTTCCTGTTCTTTTTCGCCTTGTTCTTTCCCTAGCCTCTGTTTCCCCTTACTCCTAACGCACGCATCTTGTCCCTTCCTCATCCCTCACTTGTCCCTCTCTCATCCCTCCCTCGTCCCTCCTGCATCCCTCCCCACCAGGCCCTAGCCGATGTGTTCTTCTCATACGCCAACGCCGTAACCCTCACAGTCGACGAGCTTCTCGAGAGCGTGGCGCCGCCCATCTGCGCGCAGTGGTTCCCAGACCACACGCTCTTAGCCCTAGGCCACCTGCTGGCCATGCTGGAAAAAGGCCCCATGGAATACCACCAGATGGTTCTTCTCATCCTGCAAGCTCTCCTCCGCCGCACATCCCTGGACGCTACACAGAGCCCCCTGCTGTATGCGTCTGTCTCACGCTTGCTGGACAGCGGGCACTGCCGGGAGGAGGCGTTGGGGGTGCTGGAGGCGATTTTGGATAGCTGCGCTGCCACGATCCATCGCCCTGCCGGTTCGGTTTCTGCTGCTGCGGCTGCTGCTGCGGCCGCAGCGGCGGCAGCTGCGGCGGCAGCGGGGGGGGATTATTCGCCGGGGTTTTCGGCAGAGTTGCTGCCGTCGCCGGACCTGGCGCTGAGGCTGACGCAGGAGGCGTTGGCTCGGGTGTTGGACTCGTATGGAGGGGGCCGGCGCACTGGCAAGGAGGCTAAGCGGTTGGTGCCGTTTGTTGACGCGGGAGCTGGGGCTGGAGGGTCCACTGGGGGTGGGGGAGGGAGCGGTATGCATAGTGGCAGAAGGGATTAGTGGGGTTTGGGAGGAAAGAGTTTCATGTGTCCATCTGGCAAGGAATTTTATGACCTACCATTTTTATTTTGTCCATGGAGGGAACTTATTTTCAAGGTTGCAACGCTTGTTTGACTTGCTACTGTTGAATTGTGGTGCACGAGATGCCACTGTGTGCACCTTGGGTCAAATGTGGTAGAGTGGCTTGGTATTTGACGAGCCTTTTTCTATGGATTTCTGTGGAGAAGTATGTACCGTATCTGGGCAAGCCGATGATGGTAATTCATGACTAATTGTCAGGAAATTTCCTTATCCTTACTTTGTGTCCCCGCTCAGCGCGTACACCATCGTAGCACCACAGTCAGCACCGTTACCACTCGCAACCCTCACATTGACAATCCTCCCGCCACCTTCGCACGTCGCACCCCGACCTCACGGCTCGGTGGGTAACCCGCGCTCCGGGCCTCCGCTTCGACATTTTCCCCAACTTCAGTCCCAGGCCCGTCTTGCCACAACCACAGTCCATTACCGTTACCACTGTAGTTTCGCTATATATTCTTCGCTCATGCCTTCGCTCATTGTACTCTTCCTTCGATAGTGCAATCCTCGCTCGCTCACTCAATTGCACTCGTAACACTTGGTATTCAGAGCCTACGATCTCTTCTCGGACCGCACCCACACCTTCGCTTCCTCACTATCTCAATTTTTGGGGGGGGTAGACGTCTCTCAGCGACACAGCACCGCCGCTCGTAGTGCTCTCTCGTAAGCACGCACGGCCACGACAGAGGCTCTCGCTGAGCTCGCCCGACACCCCCGCTATGGTCGAATTCATGCTCGCGACGTTGACGCATGAGCAGCTTGACCGTCTGGTACCGTATTCTCCTAGATAAAACACCCCCCCGTACCGTATGGCCCCGGATAGAAGCGCAGGCCTATGTTAAGCGCATGCGCTTGTATCTGGAGCAATGCGCTTATGGCCGATCCTCAATTATAAGCGCACCCCTTTGGAATTCTTGACTTATTATAAGCGCACTCGTTTAGTTAAAAAAAAAAAAAGAATTTCATTTTTTTTAACCTACCTAGCCTACATGTTCTAAACTTTCCATCAAGAATGACTATCACATACAAGGGTGGTCTCTGCTGTCCTGCACTACACCTTTCAACCTGCCTAGTCTACCCTACTGCCTTTTCTTCCTCCTCGTCCGACTCAGGCTCCGTGGAGTTGTTGCCCCAGAACCCATCTGCCTGGATGTCGTCGTCCACCTCCACCTCATGGGACAACTGGCACCTTCGGTGCGCTAGCACCAGTTTGTCTTCGCTCCCATCAAGGGCGTTGCTGATGCCGCAAGTGAGGAAGGCTTTCTTGATGAGGTCGGCGGGCACCGCCTTCCAGGCCCGTGAAATCCACTTGAGCACCACCTCCGGAGGTGGTTTCTTGATGTTCCCTGCATCACACGGAGTGGGGCGGGGAAAACATGAGACAAGTAAACATGCATTCAAGCTCAAGATTTGCAGACGGGAGCACATGCCGTCACTCACCTGCCGGGGTCAGGATGTTCATGCCGTCCTCCTCAAACCAATTTTGGTACTGCTGACGAATGCTTGCTTTGAAGCTTTTGTTGATCGACACATCGAGGGGCTGCAGGTCTGCCGTGCAACCCGCCGGAATGATAGCAGGCACGATGTTGAGCGCCGCGAATCTCGCCTTGACTTCTGGTGTCAGCTGACCGCGATACGAGTCGAGCACCAGCATGGCGCTACGACTCTGCAGGCCGAATTTCGGCTTCAGGAACGGCACCACGCCCGTGTTGAGCCACTCGATGACGCCTGCGGCCTCCATCCACCCGTTGGCTTGGCAGCCGACCACAACATCTGCACGCAACGAAAAAGAACAGTTAACGACTCAGGTAGTAACGGGAATAAACACGGTGGACGATCACTTACCGTTCGGGAAGTCACCCTTGGGGAGTGTCTTGCGCTTGAAAAACACCCACGGCTTCAGCTTCTCGCCCGTCGCCGTGCACGCAAGCATGACGGTCACTCTCTCCTTCTGGTACCCACCGCTGCGAATGGGCACCGACCTCACGCCCGTCTGCTCCACGGTGGTCGTCGCCGGCATCTCTAACCACAGCGGTGTCTGGTCGGCGTTGATGATGTAGCGGTTGTCAATGTCGTATTCGTGACGGGCGTCACGTACGTACTGCCAAAAATCATTGCACTGCTCAGCCACGTCTGCAGAACAGGGAGAAAGGTACATACAGTAAACCAAATTAGTATGACGCATAGGAGACATGCGAAAAAAACTAAGCGCAATCGGGTACCCACCAAAATCAGCAGTAAACGACCCACTTACGCTCCTGTGTTTTCTGTGCCACCTTTGTTTTCATGCGCACGCTGAGGTTCCACCGCCTGCGGAACCGCTCCGTCCACCGCTGACTGGCTTTCCACTTGACGTCCGGGTATAGAACCTTCATCACTTCTTTGGACCACTCTTGCAGCCGGCCGACCGAAACCGCAACTCCGCGGCGTCGCCAGTCGAGGAGTTGCGCGTACACCTTTAACTCCATGGGGCGGTACCAAGACGACCTCCCGCGCCCGTGAAGTCGCATCCGTGCTCCGTGTGCAGCCTTGAGCGCATCCGCTTGGGCTTTCCATTCTGTCAGACATTTTCGGTGAATGCCTGACTCCCGCGCCACTTCGCTCACCGAAGCCGCAAGCTCGAGCCGCACGAGCCACCTCAACTTCTCCTGGGCGGTGTAGGACTGCCGCTTATGTTGATTCAGCTTGTGCCTGGGGGAGGGGGGGCGGGCATCTCGATTCTCGGTAGACGGGTGGGGGCGTTTTTTATTAAGGGGCGGATATGTCGGTACCGGCATCTTCGCGCGTGGTGCGTCGCGCCACCAGGACTCCACACCGTCCTCGTCCTCGTCACGGTCGGGGAACACGTCTTCCTCGTCGCCCGCTGCACCGTCGCCACCAGCTTCACCGTCGCCTCCAGCTTCGCCGGCGCCGCTGTCATGTTTATCGGTAGCCACATCATCGTCGGCGCCCACAGCCGACTCATCCCACGCGCAGGATTCTGGTTGTCCCCACCGTGGTGCAGTCGCTGGAGCTTGGATGCGTGCATCGCGGGCCTTCGGTGTGTCCGCTTCAGCCAACCATTCGTCGAACGTGGCTGGTAAATACAGTTGGAGCACGGGCCGTTGGTGAGCACCTGCCGTGGCAAAAGCAGGCGGATTCGGAGGAGCGGGAGGTGCGGGAGGAGCGGGTGGAGCAGGGGGTGCAGGGGGAGCAGGAGGAGCAGGGGGTGCAGGGGGATCCGGTGGCACTGGAGGCGCTGGTGGCTCACGGGTATACCACCCGTCTTCGGTAAGTCGCCATGTGCGGCGTGGCTTTTTCTTGAAGAGGATGCTCGTCCCACTAAATTCCGCCATGGCTTCGCCTGCCAGGCGGGGTTGACAAGGAACTGAATGAAAAAATCAGAGAAGAGGGTGAAGAAATGGGCAACGACGGTGACCCCTGCTGTGTGACGGCTCGGGTTCCTCGTCGATGACAGGCAGGAAACCCCCGCCCACTCCCGTAGAGGCGCCTGCGTGGCAGCATCTACGCTGCGCTGGCAGAGAATCTTGCCGAACCTTCGAGATGGTTCTGCCCGAATGCACATGCCTCGCAGCGCATGCGGCTCTGATTGGGCCGCACGACAACATCATCGTCACGGCTGTCACATTCTATGTTTCCAGACAACATTGTGCGGTGGTAAACCGAACCGCTGCGGTTTCTGCCTGAAAACCATGCACGATCCCACTTGGTGCATGGTCGGTTGAATTCGCCTTATTGAGAGCTTCACAATGGTGTGTTCAAAATTGATTTTCATTTTTCCCTTTATACAAGCGCATGCGCTTATAAATCTGACTCAATTATAAGCGCACCCCCCCAAAAAACAATGTTTTATTATAAGCGCAGGTGCGCTTCTATCCGGGGTATTACGGTAATTGTACACCCCCGGGTAGCTAATACGGGGTGGGTGTTATATCCGACCCCGTTTGTACTATACCCCCCCTTTTGGGGTTATTTTCTATAACTCCACCCTTTTCTTATAGATTCATATTATAGCTGTTATCGAGTCCGATTCCTTACGGGACGGTATCGCAAGAATTGCTTTCATGTGAAATTTCGCGTGTACTTTCACTTAGAATCTGCCAAGATTTCCCCCCTCCCACAATCTCGTTGTCACCACGCTGGCGAATCTTCCGCTGCAAGTGGCCCAATAGGTGAAAATCACCTTCTCACATGAGGCACAGATACGTGACCAAACCAGTCAAGAAGTGACTGGTACAGTAAGAACGCACCACCGTGCGCGATTCTGGCCTCGGCGGTTGCATGAACCCTCGCCACGCAATTGGCTTTGTTTTCACCTTATCAAGTGCCACTGCCAGAATTGCCCACTCGAATTTGCCACGTGGCAGATTCCAGTGGACGGCCACGTTATCCTCGTATACTCGATTTTGCGGCACTGGTCAACAATCTTGAAGTGGAGTCAGGCCCCTGATTTTGTTTCACATGTTTTCTACTTGATAAAAAATATACCATATAATAAGACCTGGGTATTATGTAGGATTTTCCTTTGAGGAGACCCCCCCCATTTTTTCCCAGTGGTTTTCATAATACCCTAGGGTGTTTTATCCGGGAGAATACGGTACGCCAAGTAGAAGAATTGGCGCTCGAAATTGCGATGCTCACGGCGAAACGTGACTCCGCGCGTCAGCAATCCACGATGAATACTCTAGCGCTACCACACGCACCGACAAATGCATCTGCACAATCGGACGAGCCGATCGTCATTTCGTCCGGCACACCAACACAACACGACAGCGTGGGACAGCGCTCAGGTGTAACCAGTGATGGCGCCGCCTAGCCAATGCCTGGCATGGGAGGAAACAGGGTCGCACCAAGCCCGCGGGAGCCTCGCAAAGCCCGTCGGCACGTGGGGTTCACGGCGACAAGTGGCGAACAAGCCATTA